TCTACAATATATTTTTCAATTTTCTACAGTTTTAATGATAATTATATATTTTAACGATTAATTAACGCCTGTATAAATTATACAGTTTTTGTTAAAAGTTTCAAGTACTTTGATGTTATTAAAAGACTTTCGAATAAGTCATCGAAAAATGGAGTTCACTCTATTTTTCTTTTTAATAAAAAAAATTCTTTTCAAGATGAGATTTACTGACATTACTATATACTTTGAAGAAATTAAAAATAAATATGTCTTAAACTTATATAAGCAAGTGTAGTCCGTTTAAGTCTCTTTATTTCCATGTCGTCATTCCAAAATTGTAAACAGACAAACTTCGAACCAATAAACATAAATATTTATTACATTTATACAAAAACATTATACATCAACACAATGAAATATTTTCAAATCATCAACGAATGGTCATTATTTAGTTTTATTTGTATATTAAGCCGATTGTCAAATGACGTTTTATTAAAAACACGGCTTGTATGTTTAATAAACAATCTACCATCACGATTTTAAAACATGTTATTAAAAGATCTACGCATCGTCGTACCCGAATGGACGAATTGAAATTCCTCTACGGCTCTTATAAATATACTTGGCGATTAAAAACTTTCAGTCAGACTTTCGTGTCCAATCACCGAGTACTATGTTCAGCAGGGCAACCGTATGTTTTATTTTGGTGTTCTGCGTTCTGGGAGTTAGCATCACTTCAGGTACCAAAAAATATTTTATGTAAGGTTCTGGGATTTTAACTCGAAAATGACATTTACATCGTAATTTGTTCAATTTAAAAAGATATTTTTCTGATGTACAATATATAAATTTCCGCATGTTATGTGACTCCAGAATTCGTCACGGTATAATTCTAAAAAAAAGTGTTTGTAGTTGTGATAAAGAATGTAATGAAATTAAACAAAGCGGATGAACAAGGCAAGCAAAATGCCTCCAGCTTCAATATTAAAAAAATCGTATTCAGTTTGAAAATTTAGTATTAAGAGCAAAGTTCTCTCCTATTGGAATTTAACATGAAATTATTTTATTGATAAACAAAACTTTTGTGAGGAAAATTATTTAAGCCAAAATTGTTCTGTTATTTAAAAAAAAATTGAGATTCGAACTCTTCAATAAAAATCCTTGGAATCATTTTCCTTTATAAGACAAACACGCTAAAAATTGTGTTATAGTTTGAGAAAATGACCCTTTTTGAATTTGTTTTTGTGTATGCTTTTTCGTACCTAATAATTTCTATCCTTGTGATATTTCTGCAAATTGTGGAGATTCAACAAACATGTATATTATACTGTAGAAGTACTTTTTCCGCGTGGTATCAATTTACACTTTGTACATGTACATGTACGCGGTCACAAATTTTCCGCGGACCCGGAAATCTGCCCCATCGAACTTAATGCAAATATAAAGCATATAAGGAGAGTCCTAAGATATCCGCTTAATTTTCTACCAGTATATTGAACAGAAAAAGATATTCCGCGGAATTAAGACGCCGCTGAAAAAAGTATGTCTACAGTATTTTAATGTTAGATTAATTTTTCACCTTCTTGGTTCTTACATTGCAAACATTTCGCTCGCCTTGTTCGCCTGTCTTCTTAGTTCTTGAAAGTGAAATAAGAATACACGAATTTACAATTCCTATAGGTACATAATTGAATAATTGATCAATAAATTTGAAATTCAGGAAATGGGCCGTAATAACACTGATTTTTAGGATGAAATTAGGTCACATTTTCCTCAAACCACCTCGTACTGATCTTTTTAAAAAATGCATGAAAGCTAAAAAATTATTGTAACCACTCCTTTTTTCCTAGTTCATATTTTTTGTAAACATTGTTGACGAGACCTTTTGTCACTTCTCAAATACCTATACTATTTTTCTTCCATGAACTTGAGACCGAATCTAACGAATTGATCACATTTATTTGCTTCTCTTTTATTAGCAGGGAGGAAAAGATGTCCGACTGGTTTTACGTATGACCGGAAGACCCGCTCTTGCGTGGAGAAAAAATGTGACCCAGGATATGATTATTCCCCATACTTAGATGCCTGTATTTCCTTCGGTAATTGTATTCTTTTGCAATTTTCAGCAGTTTTATGCAATCGCATCATCTCGGGTCTTTCCGTCAGAGGTCGGAAAAACGTTTTTCCGCTAGTCGGAAAGAGTCCAAGTGATAAATTATACTGCATTTTCAGCATGTACTGAGTAATTTTAATTTTTCTGAAATTCTCAGGACCAAAAAAGGCCGCCCTTAGTGCTTCTTGCTCTTTGATACATCAACCCGGATCTTCAAAACTCACTGTGTACATGTCTGTTTTCCCTTTTGAAATGTCTTAAAACAGTTTTTATTAATTGTTGCATCCATAAAAGAGACTGCACCATACCAACCTCCAAAATAAAAGAAAATGAAAATATTCTGGAAACATTCATTTTTAATTCAAAACCCTGAAATCAATTTTATTTTTATGTGCAAATAAAAAATTCAAACAGTTTTTTTTCAGAATATGTGAGTTATTTTATTGTTTCTTTTTTTTCAGCTGTTTAACAATATTTTATATATTAATTTAATGATATCTAATTTATTAATTAACAATATATAATTTATTAATTACAGAAACCGGTGACGTTCGGCGCTGTTGTAATGGCGCTTTAGGACGATGAAGATACCCTCGTCATCTCAGCGAAAAACGATGTCTTTTGTTTTCATTCATGTAGAAAAATAAATTTAAAAAAATCGCATTCTAGTTCTCTTTTGTCTGTATCAATTGAATTTTAGGTTTTTTCATAGAATTATAAATTGTTTTATCGATAAAATTTGATAATGTTTCTATATCTTGAAATGGAGCTCTTCTAAAGGAGATCATGGCTACAACCACATAACCCTGTTAAAATGGATTAAAAGAAGAGGTGTCGATTTTCAGATTATTCTAATAATTTTCTAAACATTTGTAATATGGCTTAAGGTATTCCGATCCTCAGGTTCTGAAAATCAGGCATTGGTAAATTGTAAATGCTCACAAAAATGTCTGAATTCTCAGAGCAATGTGTTTTTAGTTTTTTACCCACAATCATTCTTAAAATTTCATCTTTAAAGTTAATCATATTATGTAGAGAAAATTAGTAAATATCAAATAATTCTTTGGGAAATGCGAATAAAAACACCTGCTATGCATTTTCCAATTCAAATTTGATCAACAAACACAGTTTAAAAATGCTTTTTAGTATGGGCTAAAAATATCCACTTTTCGTAAGACCTTTCAGAGAACTTTGAAGCACACTAGCTAAGAGGTATAAAATGAAAATTGTTGCATGAAGCATTTAATGTTCAAGCTTCATTTTTAGACTTTTTGAATTAAATTAAATTATAAATCAAAGAGTTGTCCTTCCTGGCTGAGAATCGGAGTACCTTAAATAAGTAAAGGGATAAGGATATAGTCTGTGGAATTTTGTCTATTTTTCAACAAATGTCAAGCAAAAGATATATATCCAGAAAAAGGTATACTTATTTGTAGATAATAAAATATTTTCTTTTATTTGTGGATATAGAGAAATCGGTGAAGTGAACTGGCAGGTAAACTTAACAATATTAGCATTTCCAGCTGGTTTGTTCAATATGATGGGTGTTGACATCGCCACGTGGTACCCTTTAATACAGTAGTGACACCTGAGGTGTTACGATCAATGACCACAGAATAAAATGTCTTACGATTGAAAAGTGTCAATATGGAATGCAAATTTAGCAGCAGAAAACATTTAATGAAATTATTCATAAATCAACATTTAGATATTTCGATTTTTTAATCTCATATTCGTCGTTTGTGTGTGTGAGTGGGGGTGGGGGGTTTAAAGCAATTTTAAATACATGTGTTTTCTTTCAGATTTTTACATTTTCTAAATTATTCATTTTAAAAAAAAAGTGAACATGGACGGTGGTCACACATTTAAAAAAAACCAGATTAGGCAGGTTAAGTGTATCGGTAGCTGAAGATAGCTAAAGATACTAGTATTTACATATAGCTGTTCTCAACATATTTCTTTTTCTACTATAACAACAACCATTACGTATATAGCTGCATGTTAAAGTCACGCATGACGAAATTATCATAAGCGAAATTCTGATGGTCTTAATTTTAGGCATACGTACGTGGCTGGCTATTACACGTAACAAATTATGATTTTGAGCTAAAAGAGTATATATGCATATAACACGGTTTGTAACATATTCTGCATGTTTTGAGATGGCAAAATTTCAAAAAACAGTTTCAGTGGGTTGCACTGAATTTCCCTTCGTCAATCCTCGCGAGCTACATGTATTCATGGATGCAGCTAGGATGGATAGAAAATGGAAGCATGCGCCCCCTCCTGCATATTATCTCCTAATTCTGAAGTACCTATTTCAATATAGCAATTACAAAATTTCATGATTCAGTATTTTCAAGTCCTTACATACACAAAAGACAACGGAACCAGTCCTATATTCTTAGAGGAATATACACGCGACCAAAACAGTCTTCTATAACCCAAAGCCTTTCTCCGAGGGAATCTTTACAGAAGGAGAGAAAACAATTAAAGATTCGCAGCAGGAATTCTTCGCTTTGCTGAATCGACAAGTGCCTGCGATCACAGCGAGTTGACATGAACAATATGGAGACGTCATGTGCTGACGGTGAAAACAGAGTGAAGATTTCTCCTCTCGGAACCCTGGACCCAGTAACGAACAACGGGAATTTAATTGCCTGTCGCAGTTGATTTTGACATTTAATTAACCTAAGATAAAAATTTCGGGTATATAAACTCATCCTCATCTTAACTGATTTATTAATTTCTGTTAGAACACAGACATTGTCTTTATGTGATATAAATATACTTATAAGGGTAGTTTGATGTATACCCAATTTTGATATATTTAGAAGGATATCTGCTTTTAAAGACATGATATTTCGGATTTTTTATAAATCCGAAAATGTGCTAATATTCAATTGAAATGGAATTTTCTCAAACTCTTCCTGTAAGGTTTTACGAATACTGCCGCGCATTTGAAGAAGAAATAGAATATTGCTGTAAAAGTATTAGCAAAGAATTTATTTCCGAAGCTAATTTCCCTCCAAAACAGTACAATATATATCATTTACAAGAAACAAACCAAGAGGTTTTTGACGGTTCTGCAGATATCAGATTACCTCCCTTTACAGAAGAAATTTTGGAAAAACCACCGAGAGACGCCGCAAATTTCCGAGAACGCCGCAGGATGCTCAGTATCAACTCTGCGTTTGAAGAACTGAGGCTTCATGTGCCTACTTTTCCGTACGAAAAGCGTCTTTCTAAAATTGATACCTTGCGTTTGGCCATAGCTTATATTGCCCTTCTAAGAGACCTTCTAGAAGCTGATGTGGGGGATCCAATAGAGTATGTGGAGCGGATACTAAATTCTCCTGATATTCCAAGGTCTCAAATACTATGGAACACAAGTGGTAAATATTTTAAAGGATATATATTTATAAGTAGGTTTACAAAATATAATAGAATATGTTCGTTGAAGTCTCAAAAAGTTCACTTTTTAAAATAAATTCTGGAAAAACCATTCATTCATAATATAATACTTTGTTATTCGTATTATTCATTTTATAGAATAAATCGGCAAAACAATTTACAAAGTCATGATTTTTTCATAAATTCTGGAAAAAGCTTTTTCATAAATTCTGGAAAAAGCATTTTATTCAACATAATACTTCGGTACACTTCTTTTAGTCGTATTATTAATTTTAAAGAATAAATCCATAAACCTTTTACATACTTATTTATTTTATAATGTTTTTGGTAGGTTAATTTAAAGCGAACGTCGTACAGAGGACAATTAAAAACTTTAATTGTACCTTTATTGTGTAACTCATATTGTCTTGAATCCGATGACATAAAAAATTTTACGCAAAAAGAAACTCATTTAGAAATAAAACTTGATGTTTTGAATATTTCATGGGCATCGGAAACGAAACAAGATCAATTTAGCTTCAAAAGCAATCCTTCGCCTATTTGAAAATACTAAGTATAAATTGCAAATTTGAAACTTAATAAATAATGGCTTTAAAAATAAATAGTAATTTTAAAATATACATGTATAAATAAGTTTTTACACATCAATTTGCTTCAATTCAAGTCATACAAATAACATTTTGGGATCATATTTTTGAAACATTCATCTGCATTCGAATTAATTGGTGAAATATCTGCAACATTTCCAATTCTACATCTCGAATTGGTGAAATATCTGTAACATTTCCAATTCTATATCTTACAGCAAATTGTTGAAAATATATCTTTAACATTTCCAATTCTAGATCTAACGGCCAGGATTGCATGGATCAAGTGGGAAAGCCTAGGCGTTCACCGGAGAAAGAAATCATCGTGTCAACACCAAATATAAAAACATACTGTCAACTGGTAAGCTTAAGGCTCAGCTGCCTTCAGTTTCCATTTTGGATATATATACGAAAATATGTTTGACTTTTCCCCCCAGATTTTTTAAACCAGACAATCCTGTCCGCAGTATTTGGACATTTAACATGCCAAATTATTTATGTAAGTTATATTCAGATGTATTTATTTATTTATTGAAACCATGATCGCAACATCTGTGTATAATTACAATATATATGTAATTGTTTTTGATTATTTGAGAAATAAATTAAATTAGTAACCGTAAAACAGTAAATTGTGCAGTCATGCAGACCTTGATGTACTCACTCTGAAAACAAAGTGACATATTTTGTGTCGCCACAGTGGAAAAAAAAAGTCACACCGAAGTTGTAATGACAATTTTTATTCAAGATATACAAATAAAACATTATATAGGGCAAAAGAATGTACACACTTTCAAACCGGCTTTGTTTGTTTCAAAGAAAACTGATATCCTGTAAAAAAAAAAATGTTTTGAACTGAAACAAATAAACTGAAAAAAATGTTATAAATATTTTCACAAAACCAAGGAACTACTACACTGTACATCTGCGGACTTGAAAAAAAAGTATATATAGGAAATCCAATGATTTCTGGTTGGTTATGATTTTTATCCAACTAGTTGTGTTTTAAATTTTATAAAAACAACGACGCATTGGTAAGGTATGATACAAATCATATTAAACGACGAATCATGTGGGGTTGTTTTTAATCACGAGTTTCATCCTGACAAAAAAAAATGACTATAGTGAACTACAGTTTACTTTAATTAACTAATCTGAAATTTGATAATTAACTATAGCTAACTGTAGTTAACTACAGTTAATCAAAGTTTACACTATAGTATATCAAAGTATTTTTACTATTTATTTCAGATAGATATATTTTATTTTTTAAAACTTCCTAGAAATGTTTTTCTGATATCAAAATGAAGTATTTCTTGTATATTTTAAGTTTTTATCAATAACTTACACCATTGGTATGTAATTGAGGAAATATTAAGGCTTTAAATCTTAAAAATTTCTATTGTGAAGTTTCATATATAGTAAATCAAAGTATCACAGTATTTACTATTTATAATAGAGTATACTATAGTAAGCTTAAGTTAACTATAGTAAACTTAATTTTTGTTAGGAATACAGTGCTTTCAATGTTTTACACGGTTATACATATGAATCCAAATTAACTTCATCCGTTTCACACACACAAAAAAAAAACATTTGAAGACACGACACAGCAATAGTAATTAATTAGTTAATTAATTAAGAGATGATTGATAGAACAAATATTGAGCAGGCCTAATTAAACAATTCAAAGAATAATAAAGGTGAACATGTAAATAATATTTTTAAAAAACTTTCAAACACAAATTTTCGCAACTCACATGGTTTCTCCTTTAAATAGTGGTATAGGTTATAATAACTTATGTTCACTGATTGCGAGAAATTTGCAGGTACAAGACAATTAAAACTGAAAAAAAATCTCCTAAGAAGTCTTAAATCAAAATACATTTTATAAGTATTTAGGTTGTGTGTTTCCACCACAATTATCGATGTGTTTATAATCACACAAGCATAATAAAGGAATGTCAAATATTCAGTGCCATATTTTGTCAATATTCAGAATGAGAATACTAAATAAAACGTAAAACTTTAATGATACCGCATGCCTTTGGCCAAGTGTTGCACAAATGGTAGGCTATAATTCAGGAAACTAAACATTTTCACGCTAATTTAATGCACGTACATAAATGTTGAAAGTGTACGTAAATGTCTAGATATAAATTTATAGAATTTTACGATATCTCTTTATTAATAAAAAACATTTATGAACAAATGCGAAGCTAAATATACATGATAAAAGTGTATAAACAATGTGAAAAATCCATTACGTTTTACAGCAGGGAAAATACAAGAGAAATACATATCTTCACCCATAAAATATAGTAATGAGTACTGATTCGTACATACTATATTTTGCTGCCAGTACCTTCATATATGACCCCGAATTGGCAAAAATTCCCAGAAGTTGCAAAAAATCACCTTAAAACAGCTTAAAATCACAGATTCGTTTGCTAATAGATAGCAGAAATACATTTGTACATGTACAACTATTTGAATAAGTTATGTTATCATTATGTTTAAGAAGTTTAAGAATATTATAACCAGGTACAATGTTTCAATGCAGCACCACATTTGCGATACATTAAAACATCCAAGACAATTGTTATATTTTGGTTTTATGTATGTTTTGCAAAATTATTAAGAATTTATTTTTTGATTTCAAAATCGGCTGGCTATAATTCTATTTAGACGTACATGTGAGTTATCATTCTAGTTTGTGTCCCGTGCTTACTTACACCAGTGACAGTTTTTTTTATTTCTTATCACAAAACTATAGGTATGAGGTATACAATAATACATGGAATTAAAACAATCGATAACATATAAAATTATTATTAAAAAAAAAAAATATTAGAAATCACAGCGGCCTGCTGTTTGCCAGAACATAAAATATTTTGTCGTTTCTGTACGAAAAATGCATCCACCGAGAAGAGTTGTATTTCTTTATATTATTTTTGTATAAGAGAAAAGGTGCTTTTTAATTTACAAAAGTTTTAATTTAAATGCTTAATAAAAAAAACTATTTAAAAATTGATAAAAGATAATAGAATTTAATGTTTGAGTCTTATCTTACTATTGAGTGAATTAATTTTATGATAGTTTCAGGTACCATATTAGAGGGTCGTTCCACTTCAATCAACAAACAATCATGTACATATGTATATGTTTTGATAAAAATAGTAAATATAGGTACTTATCTATAGTGTAAATCTCTTTGAAATCCATTTACAATCATGTGCCATACTCGCACAGTTCATATTATACACTCTTAACAAGTACTTGTATCTGAACACTCGTATCAGTACGGAAGCGTATCAGGGACTCAGCAGTATCTTTTTTTTAAAACAAATAATCACTTTGTTATAACAAATTATTTAAGTGTTATAACAAATAAATTATTTCATTTAATAAATTCTAATAAATTATTTAATTTGTTATAAAAAATTTATAAATCTACTTCTTAAAACAAAATGATAATTTGTTACAACAAATTAATACTGCTGAAACCCTACTACGCTTCCGTATTATTAAACACGTCTTCTAATATATGATAATTACATAATACATGAGACTCAACAGAAAAAAAAATTACATATAGTGAGCAAACTCCATGATTGAGATCAACTATATGTAGAAGATCTTCAAATCTCAGACGTCTGTCTTTTCTCTATCGATAGGAACAGATAAAAACCGACAGTTAGTCTCCTCACATGTCTCTCTTCGGAGACTATCGCCATTCATCGAAGACCATCGAACACCATCGGAGTCACATGGACTCGAGTCTGTGCAGTCATTGTTGTTTTTGCCTTTGGGTAGGAGTCGACTCACGTTAGAGCACTCTGTTGATCTATCTCTGTCAATAAATGAGGACACGGTGTGAGAATTGCGGGAACTCTTTCTCCACGTGGTCAGGAACGCGGAGCGTGAATACGCATAACTTTCCTTCCGCCGAAGTGCGTATTTGTACCACGCCTTCCGGATTTCTTGCAACACCTATTAAACATATAACCAATACATGTAGTAAATTTAACTTAAAGTGGTTGTTATATTTTAATAATTTAATTTTGGTTGTAACACTTCATTTGATTGGATAAAAAATTAATCTAAATTGTATAGCCTGGGTTGCCTACGTCAAAATGACTCACGTCAAAAACGTAGCAATCCACTTGACATGTCTTGTTTCCTACATTTAATGATTGAAAATTAAATTATAAAATATAAGGAAAGAAATTAAAACCATAGGCTTTAATTCTACATTACATACTAGGATATAACTTTTTAAGAGGGCCAGGTTTTAGTGTGAAAACAGTTTACGCTTTATACCATATATAACTTACATTGCTTCGCGGTTTATAAAGCAGGTATTTTTAAGGGACTGCTCTCAAAATACAGGTACATTTACTATACAATATATGGGACTTTTTCGTCTTTAAAGCAAATTTAATTCATTTTTGCTCATAAAATGATAGTGATACTTTCATATAAAAAGCATTTCTACATGTTAATGAACAGTATCATGTTTTTATAGATCGTACAACGGATTTATGCAAAAAGTATTAAAGAAGCTATAAAATTTCGTAGGTCTTTTTCTTTCATAACATTTTTATTACCTCTTCTTTAAAAACATTTCCTGAAGATAAATAAACTATTAAAAAAATATTTAAGGTTGCTTATAGCTTTAAAATGTTGTATCAAAGTAACTTCTTAGATGAATATTATTTTTTGAATTCTTGATACATGTAGGAGGTTTGAAATGAAAGAGGTAATTTCTAAAGGTATCTAAGATATAATTATTAAGCAAACTTGTCAAAGATAGCAAACTTGTTTTACAGTCTGTGCACATTAGCATGAAATTTCAAGTGAGCGATGAAACCTAATTATATACGTTTTTTCTCCAAAATTCCTTTGGAAAAAATAAGAAATTTTTAATTGGCTTTGGAGGAAATTTAAAAGATCGTGTTTTATGATAAAGATAATCCGTTGACACATTTTCAAAATATGATTAATACAAGAGATTAGTATCATAACAGAGTAAGTAATGATCAATTCATTTTCACATGAGTATTTTACCGAAAAGTTCTGTAAAAAGAAATTCCAGTGCACACGTTTTTGAAAGAAAGGAAATTTAAGGCTAGATAGAGACAGTATTAAAAGGTTATATTGTAATTGGATTTATTTTGGAGCAGAAAATCTTTGGGTTAAAAGAAACCTGTAACTGGAAAGTAATGCCAATATAAATTTAAGTATATAATGTAAAACTATCATCGAAGATGCAAAATAAAACTTCTGCATAAGTACCAGATGGGGGATAATTATCAAATGTTTGCAAATGGGAACACACCAACAGTTTACTTGTTAAATATAGTAAAACACGAATTTCTTTATAAATACTGTACAGTGAACCTTCAGATATCCGGACGCCAGATATTCGGATGCTTCAGTATCCGGACGATATTCCTCGGGACAGAATTTTTTTTTTAATGTTATTTGTTCTTGTTTGACTGGTAATTCAGATATCCAGACGCTTCACATAACCGGACAAATTGACTAGAACCAAAGCGTCCGAATAAATGAGGCTCCACCGTATATAACTCCCTAACTAATTATAAAATTGTTGTTTTACCGATAAAAAAATCTACATAATTATTCCCATATTTTGCAATTTCTATTGATCAACAAAAAAAGTAAACCCTCTAGGCTAGATTCTGAAGAAATGTACAAGGATAATGGTTGAAAAGCTAAAAAGAAAATTATTATACTTTCGTAAAGTATCATTATAAATATTGTAATATTTGAAAGCAAAATTTTAGGAATAAAACAAACTCACCTCTTCATTTAGAAAACAGAATAAGATGGCTAATATAAAGCCCTGAAAATAAAAAAAAAATGTCCGTTTTTAATCAACATGTAAACTGTCAATCAAGTTTTGGTAATCTTTCATCATCTTTAATATACTTTAAGATTATAAATCCGAAAAAGAGAGCTCTATAAATGAATAAGCTTATGATTATAATTTTGCTTTTATTCCTCACAGGATGGTATTTTTGTACATCTCAGTTAATAATAGTAATATTAATCTGATATGTATAGTTTGTTTTTTTTACATGGATATTATGAAAATACTTACTTGAAATGAATTATAAAACATTTCTATATATAGATATGGGATATCTCTCTGTACATCGATATCATTACCAGTCAGGAACGAGAAAACGATGTAACAAACTCCAAACAGCGGAATCAAAACCACTATAAACTTGGCCATCTTCCTACAAAAAGTTGTAGTCTATATAATGTACAATGTACTAGGCAATACCTATATTAACCTTTAAATCATTATTATACGTTAAACAGAGTGGATTATGTACAAGTAGCTGTACAACTTAAAAAAGGTTTCATTTTGTTCCAGTACAGCCCAAAATAACAGAATAGGAATGCTCATAGGCTTACTTTTTGTTTTGAAACAAACAGATGTATTAGTACATGTATAATGGCAAACAGCAATATCAGAGAAGTTAAAACCCATTTCCTTAGAACAAACAAAAAAATAAATAAATTGATAATTTAAGTTGCAGTTGAGCCAGTATTCAGCTGTTCAAACAACTATAATTTTTACTTTAAAAGATAGAAATTTAATATAACAGATCTATTTAACAAATCATTAAAGCGGGACATTCTATGAGAAGCAATTATCCCAATTGTATACGATAGTGTATCAGAGATTAAACCATGGAATCAGAACCAAAACTCAACCCTTACCATGTTCGTAAAAATTATGCAATATACATGTAGCACGAACATTTTTTTCCCACGATATAAGTCAATTATAATTTCTTTTAATTTCTTATCAGACAAATCTTAAATTTCTTACCTGACTTTCCTCGCACCTGACACTCGTTTATTTTTCTGAACACGAATGAAAAGCACTCTCACAATGTCAACGAAAAATATGAAGTTTATCTGAAAATAAGAGCAGGTATATATGTAGGTCAGAATGCAAACAGTTGCAAAACATAAACATCCTCTATTGTTTATGTTTGACAATTCATTAAGTATGTCATTTCAAAAAGTTCAGAAAAATATTACTCAATAAATTTTAAAATGTCATCTTCAGTAGGGAATAAAAATTACGTTGATACAGAAAATGGTTTCTATTTGAAGCCAATAAATTACATCTGATTGCAAGAATAAAGAGTACATAATAATTATGATATTGATTTAACTTTTTCTTGGTGTTTTATTACACAAAACAAGAAACATTCTTAAAAATTAGCAATCATTTTAACTTTTATTGGGGATATAAAGACAGTTTGTTTATATGAGTTATAAAATACCATGAAACCTGAATGACCTTATGGTAGATAAAATATGCAGACAACGTACACTCGAGCTCAAAGTCCATTCAGACAATACAAATCGGTAGCATAGCCAACATAGACCTCCACAAAGATCAGAGATTGGATCAGGTGCCATTGAAGAGTAAGCATCCCATACTGCCCAGTAATTAGATCCCAATAAATGTTTAGATATTTGATATACAAAATAAAGTACGTACTATGTAGATACCTAAGAGGGGCCCCCTCAGAATCCACAGGTACTCCGGGGAAGGATTCGTATTCCAGCACCTGTAAATTTTATATGCTTTTAGTGTTAGCACCTTTAAATATTACAACCTGAAGTTTCTTGAAGTTATTGAAAGATATTAATAAACCAATACATCCAAAATAAAACAAGATCTATTATAATAAACAGAAAATATTCAAAGAAGAAGGTACAGTTTGAGCTTTATTGTGCCCTAAAAATTTAATGTTCTCAAAAGGTTATGAAATTGGCTTCAATAATAGTTGGGTAGATGAATATGATAAATCATGAAAGAATATGGCATAAAGGAGGACCTTTCTGGAAGTATGACATCATTAATTTGGTGCATTTCTAAGTTTAACGCAGAAAAGCCTCAAAATGACTCATATAACTTTAATTTTTGGATATATTATGTAAACTGCCATGAAAAACACATATCTCAAAATCTTTCCGGGCGACGGTGGCAGAGTATATTTTCTTGAAGAAAATTCCACTGAAAATTCATGTCTTCTGCAACTTTTTAAGAAAATACGGGAAAGTGCACAAGTTAATGACGTCACAGTTAGCATTAAGGAGGTCATATGAGAAAAACGAATTGTGTATTCTTACTGCAGAGAACTCCTAAGATTCAGAAAGAATGAATTTTGATTTCTTATATCACTTTCATATTTTAGAAAAATGTCGGACTTAATTTGTATTGAAACTGTACCTTCTTCTTTCTAGAAAGATATGACAAGTTAAACAAATCTAGTAATGAGGAGAAGTTCCATATAAAATGTGTTTTGGTTTTACATATAAGTACTTTTCCCTATACAGTAAAACTCGTTTAGTACAAACACGGATATAGCGAAGTCACGGATATAGCGAAGTTTTTCGAGGTCCCCGGCAAAATTCTTAACAATTCTTTGTAATTTTTTATAATAACGAACTCGGATATAGCGAATTTACGGATATAGCGAACTGATTTTGAGTCCCGTAAAGATTAAAAATAATGTATTTTACATCTTTTATAACGAATTTTCATATATCTCAAAATTTGATATTATAAACCTATTTTCACAAAATATTTGTATATAACATTCAATTCATAATAAAACCTTACTTTTTCAAAGTAAGATATTGCTTCCCTAATCTATTTGGTATAAATTCTTGAAGGAAAACATGCATATTGCGAATTCGATGTATATATAGTTATACGAATTCGTTATACGGATACAACGAATTTCGGATGTAGCGAATTAAATTCCAAGGTCCCCAGGACTTCGCTATAACCGAGTTTTACTGTACCGCATCTGTTGATTATTTAGGTATATATTAAATATTTTGCAACCAATTAAGATACAAAATATACATTACATATTTCAATGCCTGTTAAAATGAAGATAAAAAGAGGAAGATACAATTCTTCAAAAACGTTGAATAATATTCCTAATAATAGGACGATTTTCTCCTTAGTTTGGACTTTCAGTAGGGCGTGGCATTCTCGGCGCTACGTAATGGCAAATACAATAGATTCTCATTGATTAAGAAATTAATAACATCAGAAACTTAAAATTGTTGTTGACAACGATAAGACGACTTATGCCCCACCTCTCTGCCGTGAGAGAACTTTAAATTGGCTATTTACTACACCAGTTGACATTCGGCCACGTTTCTATCATATGTATATTTCAACAGTGAAGGAAAGCTGTGTAAATTTCAGAAGTAATTAGGTAACATTGAGAATGCAACGCCTTACTGAACGTCCAACCTAAGCGTGTGATGGTCCTATTTAAATTCACAAAGAATTCTAGCTGTCAATACCTTATACATTTTTCCCCTTTATTGATTTTTAACACATTTTTTTCTTTTATAAATCACGAGGTTAAAATAATTGTGTGTTGAAACTTACAACGAATCTTCTAGGACAGCTCTAACAATCACCCAGGGTATAATGAAGGTGAGGGGACCCACTGCAAGAGAAGATAAAGAAAGATAATTCCTCGCCGGTCAATCCAATACAGCAGAACGCGAAGAAGATCCAATATCATAATATTGGTTATTTATTTATCTTTTTTTTTTTGAATTACAAAAATGAGATATTTGGAGTGAATTATACAAGAACAAGTTACGAAATTAAATGTTTTAGCTTAAAAATCATGCTTTCCAATATGCTAGTAGTTAAAGAATATTTTCAAGAACATTGCTAAATTTAAACAGTTCAAGGAAAGCTATTTACAGAAATATTCTTAAGCTATTGATCAGCTGATTTCATAATCTTCTTAGCTGACATTATTATTTTTTTACTCACGCCAACCAAATATGACGTATAGATGAACTCCATGTTTTTCTGTAAACATGGTTTTATAAACCATCATGTACAAATACAACGCTTCCATAAAAATCCACATGGCGCAGGCGGATATAGTGTACACAAACAGAGTGAAGAGAAGTTTACATTCCCAGTGCTGCAAAACAGATTATCATGTGTAATGAAAAAGTGAAAATAATGATAATTCACCAATTTTAAAAATCCTTTAAACAATACACAGACTCAAGAAATCAGGTGCCTAAGAATAGTAAGCATCCTCATTACAGGATGGGATAAAATTTTAGGATATATCCGTCGTCAAAATAAATTTGAAATTTAGATTTTTACGGAAGCCGACTACATCTTATCGAAAGCCCAGTAATATCAACTAGCTTTAAGTAGTCTGTCTCACTGATTGTATCAGAAAATGTTCATGGATATCAAATTAAGATTTCTAAGCATGGATCAAAATGTAATGCTCATGTAATCTTTTGAAGTTTTATCAAACAAAATGATATACATAATTATAATTCTAAAACCTCTTCCCATTTAGCAATTTTTGCTTTTCATAGTTAGCTCATTTTCCCGGAAATATGCTTCAAGGAATATGGAGAAGAAACGATATTCTGTCGCCATTTAAAAAAATGGAATCTTAGATATATTCAAAGGCGAAGACTAATCTGTCTCACTGATTTTGTTTATGAAAATTGGCAGAATAGAAATTAATAACTAGATTTATTTTTACAAACATAGTAATAATTACTTACAGTACCACCTTCCCGGAACCGGAAGACGCCGTTAACTTCCTCCACGTCTTGCTCGAGTCCTACCCCCTCCACAAACAAACTCTCCTTCAGAAAAGACATGAACGCCCTCAGAATAAAGGCGATAAAAAGATTGATGTGCAGGGTGTTGCTCTTGGACGATAGTTTCCTGTTAAAAAAGAGTAAAATTTTGGATAATTATATAATTTTTTCTTCGTTTTTTTTTTCAAGTACATAATACCATTGTCTAGTTTTACGTTTTTCTCTTTTAACCTTTATTACTAAGTAATTTGAGTTCTTTGATTCATAAAACGACTCTTCTCAGGTCAAAAATTTAAAAATTCAACTCCATTTTTCTACATAGATGAACAATTCTCGTATAAATCAAGAAAACATGAGCTTTCATGCAGGTAAATTTTATTCTAATACAATAACTTATTAAATGTTAGATCTATGTCAATCTAAGAAATAGAAAATCTTCATCATAACCGTAGGAAAATTCACATAAATCATATGAGAGGAGACTAAATCATTTAAGTTTTGAAAATATTACTAAAGAAGTTTCAAAGTCTTTTAAATGAAATAGAAAAATAAGGAACAATAATAATTATAGAATCCATTTAAACAATACAGAATAGGAGAAGAGCAAACAAACAAGGACCTCTTAAAACATTGGAGGTTAGATTGGGTGCCTTGGGGGAGAGAGCATCCGCTGTTCACATTTAACAAAATAATTTAGAATACAGTTAAACAACACTGACATTGTAGAACCAATATATAGATATCCTACCTGCAGCACAACATTATAAACACGGCCACGACTAATGAACAAAGAGAAACTCCGTATCCTATATTGTACATTAGTCTGATGCGAGCTAAGTGATTCTACAAATAAAGCACATCAAAATCAGAGAAATTGTTTCAGCCTGAATTACATCAATCTGATTTATTGTATATTTATTGAAATCATATGAGTTATATGAGTGTAAAAAGACATTTGCTAACTTATATTTCTCTTTTGCATTGTAGATTTACCAGACCGTTCGTTATTAAATGTATTTTTTTTAATATAAAAAAATATATTCAATTTGTATCACAGCTTTTTGGATTTTTATGCAGATATTAGATGATCAATTGATTTCATTAAGTACAAAAAATACATGTATACTAGAAATGATATAAAATAATATCCAAACAACGAGAATATGAACTTACGAGTAGATCACTAGAATAAATCTGCTGGCTATTGCTAACACAGTCCCCGAAATCTGTCCAGCTGATATTTCGTCCCGGAGGGATATACCAAGTGCCATTTTCTGTACAATGTCGTCTGGCAAAACCTAATGAACATGTACAATATGGACAACATATTAGCAGATCTTTTTTATATTCATGTGAAGCAGAATTTGTGCAGATTCTTATGCGTTGAAAGAAGGAAACCTTTGCTTTTACCTTCCACTCGACAATTAGATATATTGACGACGTAATTGACAATTAACAGAAGTAATTAATTTCCATTCTTATGTTCATACGATATATCCCGGTGAGTCTGAGATACCATTAAGTCTGACACATCTGTTTCATATTTGAATATTTTACTTGAAAAAGACGTTATTGGTAATCGAACAACCAATGCAAGCTCTATGAGAAATGTGATGACTTTAACTTTTCTATCGTCAGCATCCCTTACTTATGCAGCAATATACCTTCATCACCTGCATACCGCGTTTATATATCTCAGTTGATTCGATACGCAAGTGCATGCTCTACGTATGAATATTTTCTAAAATGAGGTAAATTATTGACAAACAAGTTGATGAAACAAGAATATCAGCAGTCTCGTCATCATTTCGTAAGTTCTATGGTCGATACACTGACCTTGTAAGCAAATGCAAATGCTGGCTGGCGTTTTTCATACTAATTGTTAGTCCATTATTTAAACACTGAATTGACGACGGATTTTTTTCGTTATTTCCCGTGTATGACAAGGAGTACACGGAGGGTGTGACCGGTCGGCAGGAGATGCTTACTCCTCCATTGCACCTGATATCACCTCTGATGTTTTGAAGCTCCGTGTTTGCTTTGCTTCTATTTTGTAATGTTTTATGGATTTTTTTTTATCTTGATTGATTCACAGGGGCATCTTATCCACTCTGTTCTCTACTTCACATATAAAAATACACAAGGGAAGAATCGAAAGTAGCACACGATTTTTAAAAAAAGTCAAAAAACAACTTACTTGAGAAAAGTTACACAAATCCTGAAAGGAACTAGCGCAAATAATGTCCTAGTACTTATCCAGGCTAAAATATTCCAGATATATCCATCGTAAATAGCTTTTATCCAACTAAAACCCCAGCTTTCTGCACAGTGTGAATCTCTACGCCCAAGAAAAGATAACTCACCCGGATGACAATAGGGTAGTGCCCGAAGTCTTCCAATGGCACTCGGAAGGCCTCGGGTACTACCCTATTGTCATCCGGGTGAGTTATCTTTTCTTGGGCGTAGAGATTCACACTGTGCAGAAAGCTGGGGTTTTAGTTGGATAAAAGCTATTTACGATGGATATATCTGGAATATTTTAGCCTGGATAAGTACTAGGACATTATTTGCGCTAGTTCCTTTCAGGATTTGTGTAACTTTTCTCAAGTAAGTTGTTTTTTGACTTTTTTTAAAAATCGTGTACTTTCGATTCTTCCCTTGTGTATTTTTATATGTGAAGTAGAGAACAGAGTGGATAAGATGCCCCTGTGATTGATTGTATATTGTTTAACGTCCTTCTCGAGATTTTTGATTTTGAATCTCCATATGTTTCATACGTACAGTCTATGTTGACAACTTGTATAAAGGCTGTATAATATCTATGTAGACTGAACAATGTTCAATTATCATTTAATCAACAATTTTTGTATAGGATTGACAATGTTTTATACGCACCGTCTGTATTTAGACCTTCTATATAGGCTGGGCAATTCTTCCTCGCCACAGTCCCTGCCCTTGTGGCTTCCCAGCACATAATCTGATCCCAAATAGGCTCACAATACAAATCTAAAGAGAAACAATTTTGCTAGTTTAAATTTATTAAGAAAACACATTTGATATGGTCTTTTGACACGGGATGCTCACTCCTCCATGGCACCTGATCCCACCTCTGATGATTTGAAGGTCCGTGTTTGCTCCGCTCCTATTTCATAATGTTAAGTGGACTATGGGCTCAGATACCGTTCGATATCTCCACATATTTCAATTTTCCTATATGTACAAGATATCGAGTCCTGTGGATTTTTTAGAAGTACATTCATGAATCTACCAATTTAAACCTTAATATTTTATGTTTCAAAGGGCACACCAAATGTTTTGAAATAAAAAAGAGAAAATGATAATCTTCATTATTTTTTCCAGGCATATAAGTCTTCGTTATATTAAAAGAATCACATGATCATCAGACAACTCTATGTGTATTTCCTTTAAGAATAGTCATATAGTTGCATATTACAAGAACTTTCAATAAAAAATGTCCTCGGTGCTTTGAAAGAAACCAAAAAAAAAACTTTTAGTCTTTATGATTTCACTTCAATATTTTCCCTTAATTAAACGTATGCCCAAAACATTTTTTTTCTAATTTCTGACTGTTTTCAGAACACATTTTTGAGTATGGCCCTTCGTATACTGAAATATGGCAGATCCAATGATTTTCTGGACTTTTTTTTTTCTGAAAGTTTTTTTTTAAGTTTGAAAATTGAAACAAGTCAAAGGGTGAAAGATCTGGCGAATTTTGTTGGTTTGATAAAACATTAATGTTCTGTTTATCCCCCAAACTCCTTTACTCTTCCGGGCGTGTGGTTTTGGACGCTGTAATGAAGAAATTTAATGTAGTGGATTCCTGATACTTGGTCCTTCCTATCATAAACCTTTCGATTTTTTGACCAAAATTTTGCTTTTGAGACTCCTCCAGAAATAAGAGTTTGAACAACAAGACCACTAATATTTAAGAAAATGGCACATAAAACTGTCTTTGTGCTCTTGCAGTTCTTTTCTTTTCTCAGACCATTGCTGTTTTTGTTAAGTACATCTTAATGTGAATTTGTTTTGAGTGTTTAAAGCAATGGATTCGAGTTTCATTATCTGTTTGAATTTCAGACAAAGTACAATTTCTCACTAAAAAAAAATAATTGTTTAGATATTAGATACACGCTGTAGTTTTAACTCATTTTTCAAAATATAGGGTACCCTTTGATTACCAAGCTTTTTTACTTTCAAATGTTTCTTTAAAACAATGTGAACTTACCCAAAAATGACATATGTACCTAGCAAATTTGCCATGTGTTATGAAGTCAATCAAACATTATCAGTAATAATTGTGTTGAATTTTGGCAAACAGTACAATGGTTGTTGTACGTCTTTGTCTCCTAAGATGGTACCCATTTTTGATGCCCATTATATCCTTTTTGTTCATTGAAATCTACCTGCTCAGGTGTCTATAAAACAGACATTGGTTGTTGTAAATTTGACATATTTCAGTGAATATTTCTTTTGGATTCTCATCAAGTTTTTCAACAGCTTTAATGAAGCGTTTATTTTCACTCTACTTTACTAATTCTCTACCATTCATTTTTAATGCAGTGTCTCGAATAGCCCTTGTTTTCCAGCTTCTCACATTGAAACTATGTGATGGAAAGTGGTCACATAAACTGTTATCAATTCATTAAAGATACAATCATGAGAGAAGGTCAAGTTTAATGTTATACGATTTCTATGTTGTATGTCATAGTGTTCAGGACATTATTTATTGAACAGCCCTCGTATAAAACTCTAAATCGCAGTAAATCGAAACACTTAATTAGTTCATTAATTAAAGTGATCATTACCTATTAGAAAGGAGGGTAGCATAATCTCATTGCACTGTAAAAGTATAGAAAAGTCCTTTTAAAATATGCTGTGAAAATTATACTCACGGAAATAGTGTTTATCAAGTACGCACATTTGTAAAGAATAAAGCTGAATAGATTTATATTCCTCAGTCATAATTGAGCATCACTTCAGCGGAAGAATACATAAGAAATAATAAATCACCAAGGAAACGAGAATCAGATTATGAAGACCGCATCTGGCACTTAAAAACACAAAGAAAGCACCGTGGAATTTCCGACAGAGAAAGGAAATCAAACGATATCCTCTTAAGGCTGGGTTTAACATTTCATTCATGATATCTAAATAGGACTAAATTGTCAACCTTGAAATAAATATAGTGTGTGTATGACCTTAAAGTTTTAAAACTACACAAAAAATATATTTTAAAATACATGAATGGGTGTTTATTGTAATCATTATCATCAATATTATTTTTTTTATTAAATCCATCATTAAATTTACATTGAAAGGGAGGTAAAAAACACATTTTATAGTAGACGCCCAGATTCTTTATGTTGTTTTGTCTGAGATGATTTGCTGAATGATAATATATATTATTGTAAATTTATATGAAATTCTAACCCAGTCTATAATGAATTTTACTTTATTTATTTTGTAGCCTCCTTTCCACATGTATTGTGAAGGAAAGAAAATCCTTTTGTAGCATCAACGGTTTCTTATGCTCTTTTTATTTATTCTAAGGGTCTTATACTCGTACATGCTTCAAATAAATTGAGAAAAAAAAATTCAAAAAATATAATAAAATTATAACTAATTAGAACAGGTTGTAGTAGAGCTTTATATTTGCTTAGTCTCCAGGCTTTAAAGAGGGTGTATACCTTTATTGTAATAAAAGCTTTTGAAAGATTACACTTCAGTATTTGTATTTTTAAAAAAAGTTTAACTTGCGCGGTGGAAGATTAAAGAATATTTTTTATCTAAATTGATGATGAATATTTCAGAAGACCATGAATTTCTTGGATAATAAGATATCAATTTCCTTGCACCTAAAGAACATCTAACAAAAGTTTATATTTCTCTTAAAAGTAAATGTTTTCTAAGCAAGGTATACCCGATAGGTTGTACAAGTACATACTAGTATATAATATATTTCAAGTGCAAAACAAACATGTAAATATACAATCAAAACCGTGAAGTCAATCAAATACTTAAGTTGTTTCCCATGTCTAACAGTTAGATCTGTATTACATTGTTACTTATGGCAAATCTGCTTGTTGACTTAAATTGTCTGTATCAAGAACATTTGCTGCATTACATGAAATCGTATTACAATTTGATTCTATTAAATAAATGATCTATTAAACTGTAATTCCAACAACTAATTGTATCAACAATGATATGGCATTAAAGTACAGAAAAGAAATTTTGGTTGCTTCAAAATAGTTTGATTTTGAACAGAAAATATACTTACTGTTAGAGGAGGCATTATAACTGTCTATTGTATTTTGGCAAATCACGCTTGCTCTTTCCAATTTTTCCATTTGCTCATATTTCTTTCTTGAAGTCTATTAAAAAAAAAACAATATTGTGATTCATAGTTGGGAATCGTATAAATAAAAACATTAGTGTTTGATCACAATTTCTTAACCTTTATTCAGTTGAAACTTGAAAATAATTATTTTGTCATATCTTCTATTGACTTAGCATTTGTCTGAAACTTCTACCAAATGAATTCGAGAGGGAGAAATAGATTCAGCGATATAACTTTTTTGAAAATTTTGTTGATACGTTGACGATAAAAAAAGTTGATATGCTTATGTTTAGAAATTAATTAGTTAGTTTGCCATCAAAGTAAATGCATGAAACTCTCTTTGCATTCAAGGTCGTTAAAACTGCTAAAATATTTGTCGCACATTTCTTGTATTTATAATTTTTATAGAGCAGACTTTATTCACAAACTTCTTAATCAGAAGAAAAACGCTTTCTGTGGCCTTCGCCTTGACATTCAGATACATGTTCATCAATGACGTTTTATTAAAAAAAAAACACTTGTTACTTTCATTCATATGTCGACTCCATATATCATAGTAACCTTCAAATAAAAGAGTTTGAATCTCCTGTTTCAAATTTGGAAATTCTACTAGAAACAGATGTTAACGGAAACAAGTTAAGACAACATAGCTTTAAAATAAAAGTGATGTTTTCCACTTTTCAATCGTCATCTTCCCTTTCTTATGCAGCGATATATATGTCCTTATCATCTGCATTTGGAGTGAAAGTCTCTCAGTTGATTCGATACGCAAGAACATGAATTTGATATCATTTATTATATTAATTAACTTTATTATTACTTAACGTTCTTTAAACTCCAAGCAATGACATGGTCCGAAAGCCATTTTATTATTAAATCAATAAGGTCGGTTTTCATCTTTTCCTTGACAAACTAGATTTTACAAGGTTGAAATAAATGGAGATGACGAAGAGTATTCAAGATCAACAGTCCATTAAACAAAACATTAAACTATTTAAAATTTATTCTCTGCAAAAGAACCGAATGGGAAGAAATTATCACTTCAATAGAATCAATATTTTTGCAATAACAAGAACAGATCAAACACATTGCTCTTAGAAGCAAGAAATATAAAGAATTGAAGACATGAACTTGATTTGCATAAATATGGATTAAAATAGCCCCAAAAAATGTAAAACAATAAAATACAATGAAGGATCCATAGTCTCATGGTCACCTGAATATCAGGTGTAATAAAAATTGAATAAATAACATACCTAGCTCATAAACCTCCAAGTGAACGTCATACCCAGGAAGCATCAATTTCAAGATCAAGGAGATAGCACATAGTTAATGATTGGGAGTTATTAATTTAATTTTGTATATGTCTACGGGTGAAATAGAAGATTTTGTAATGTACTTTTCGACACATGACCAACTTTTGAGACGGAAAACGAAGACCAAAACAAATATTATTAAGTTACCAGAGAGGCTTAGGTGACATTTAAGTCATTTATTCCAAGTGATTAATTATATGTTTTTATTTCTGAAAATAAAAAACTGAAGTGTCACAATGAAATTCAGTCAATTAAACTCAGTCTCATTGCAATACTAATGATCAAGTGATCCTTTTGTCAAAAGATGTGTAAAAGATCTGACAGATTATTCTCGGCATGTGACCATTAGACAAGAGACTTATATGCTACGCTATAAATCACGTCACAAATTGTCAATATCTAACATATTCGAATCCCGCTGGCATGACTATCAACTAGTTAAAGTACTTAATTGACATTGAATTCAATTTAACGATTTGATGATAAAGTTGTATTTTAAAAGTGCAAACAAAGCTTGAAGACAAATCCAATATACATGTATATAGATACGGGTTTGGACATATTCTCTGCATGAAAACTTCTTATGCCATCTTAATTTGACCAAATTTGAAAATATAAAAACTGATATCTTTACAAACTTTTTGAAAAACATAGATTCCAGCACAAAGGCAAAGAACTACAAAATTGTTCAAGTCTGCTAAACTGATAACAAGTATGTTTTAATTTAAGATCTAAATTCATAGACATGCAAATGTCATCAGATGGGCTGTGTACTATTAAATAAAACATATCTTAATATTAAACAGTTAAAATAAAAACTTTTTGCCTCTTATGGAATTAAAGTATATAACAGATCAACTACGATTAGCAACACGTCTTGTTTAAAAACTAATAAATGTTCTACAAACCCTTAAAGGGATATCCTAATTGATAAATTTTGAAGATTTATTTGACAAAAGTAATGATATTGTCTTACGGGGAGACTTTACGAGAAGAGTAGTATATAATGATAATAATAAAGCCTTTTTATACTATAAATGTAAAATTAATGTTCCACACAGTATTAGATTGAATGAGAGTGGTATTGTGGCATACTGTGAAATCATGAATTTTCGTGGGGGGTTAATTTTCATTGTTTTCGAGGTATGACGAGACCCATGAATTCATGTCCACCACGAAATGTAAAATGTTACATACATTACTACTCAACAATTCTTCATCCACGAATTCAAATCAAGAGTTTGTACTCAAACCACGAAAATTTGTCCCCACGAAAAAATGTGATTTTACAATCACTATTAAAGCCAATTTAATCAAAATACATACCATGCTTTATTTTATTAGCTGTATTATGTAATAATTCATGTGGAGAAAAAAACAAGCAAATTCTCAATGAAGTTTTGACTAGAGCTTTAAAAGGCTTCAAAACTGTATTTATTAATATTTAAATGAGATTTAGAGGAATCGTCTTAAAAGTTTAATTTTTATTAAACCTTTTCTTTCCGACATAGAGATTCATTCCCTTCGGAATAAAACGCCTTTCATTCAAAAAGTATATCTAAACAAGCATATAATGATAGTTGTCATAACTATTTGATGCTGATTTTGTTAAGGGTATATTTGGATATTTTCAAAGTATATCTAAACAAGCATATAATGATACTTGTCATAACTATTTGATACTGATTTTGTTAAGGGTATATTTGGATATTTTCAAAGTAGTACAGAAAGATATAACGAAACATAGTTCCACTTGGATATGTGCAAAAGTAGTCCAGAAAGATATCACAAAACATAGTTGCACTAGGATATGTGATGTGTCAAAATAATCATTAGAAAATCAGAAGAGGAAGAACAGCACTGCTGTGCTAATTACCTCCTCTGTTCACATCATTGGAACCTGCTTTTGTATCACAACAACCAGACCACCAGAAAACACCAGAACTCAATGCGCTTATGACGCTGCGTGTTCACTTCTTGGTTTACGAGTAACATAATTAGTGCTGTAAAAAGGTTCAGAAGAGAAAGAAATTGTTACACCAATAATCTGTAAATTTAAAAAAAATTCCATTGGTCATCATTTTGTGGGTTAGAAAAAGAATCGTTTTATGGAGATTTGACTTTGTAGTTGAAGAAATATGAAATACAATTCATTTTAAATTTTATAGTTTTATAAATTATTATTAAATATTTTACATCTAATAGTTCTTGATAATCATGAATGTTTGGGTGTCTCCACCACGAACTCAACAAAATAACAAGAGGCCCATGGGTCACATCGCTCACCTGAGTAACTTTCGTGATGCGGTTCTTTACCAGATTTCCCCTCTTCCTTTATCTATTTTGCCACCCCCCCTACCCCACCTTCCACCACGGCCCACTTCCATCTTGATTTTAATAATTTAGAATCTACACTACTCCAGGATGCTTCCATCTAAGTTTCAGCTTTCCCACTGTTCTTGAGAAGAAGATTTTTCCTATATATTTCTATATAAAACTTGGATTCCCTATTGTGGCCTCGCCCTACCACCGGGGGTCATGATTTTAACAATTTAGAATCTACACTACCCCAGGATGCTTCCACATAAATTTCAGCTATCCTGGCCCAATTATTCTTGAGAAGAAGATTTTTAAAGATTTTTCCTATATATTTCTATGTAAAACTTGGATTCCCTATTGTTGCCCCGCCCTACCCCCGGGGGTCATGATTTTAACAATTTAGAATCTACACTACCTTAGAATGCTTCCACATAAGTTTCAAGTTTTCTTGCCCACTGGTTCTTGAGAAGAAGATTTTTGAATGACCCCACCCTATTTTAGTCTTTTCTTGATTGTATCCCCTTGGAAGGGGACTTAGCCCTTTATTCTAAGAATTTAAATTCCCCAACACATAAGGATGCTTTGTACCAAGCTTGGTGAAAATTGGCCCCGTGGTTCTTGAGAAAAAGTTGACAATGTGAAAAGGTAACAGATGGACGGACGGACAGACAGACAGACGTACAGCTAGACAGCTAGACGGACGGACTACGGACAAAATGTGATCAGAAAAGCTCACTTGAGCCTTCGGCTCAGGTGAGCTAAAGACCTTTTTTAAAAATAGTGTTTTTTCTAAGTTATCACTACAGATCTAATGATTAAAGTGTTACAGATGCAACTGAAAATTCTCACAACATACTATGCCATATTGAAACCAGACTTCTGATAGTACTTTCAAACCTCATTCTGCTTATCATAGATATAAATTTTGTGTTTAGATATTTTTTATATATAATAATCCATATTTCTAAGTCATATCTGGATGCACTGAATATAATATATCATATTCTTTAAGTTTATCTAAATTATTTTTCAAAAGATTCTTTAAGGCAGATTGAAGCCAGGATAATAATAATTCCATGTTTTTATTATAAAAGACTTGTAAGAAAATATACATTAATTTATTTTTTTTCTATATCACCAGAATACATTCTAAAAAGCAAAGTGTGTGTCTGAATACAGAAATTTAAAGACAATTTCAAAACTATCTGACATACTTCAGGAACAGATAGATTCAGTAAGCATTCAAATAAAGTAATAGATCTGTTTGGATTTTCAAAAAATTTCAACTTACATTGAAACAAGCAAAGTCCATGGGGATAAGGAACAAAACGAAGACTGTTCAATAAATAATATCCTCAGCTCTACGACATACAATATAGAAATCATATGACATTATGCT